AGCATTTCTCGCTTGCCAAAGAAGCAATAATCCAACTCACATGTATTTTGATGCCTGCGCAACACTCCATCTGCCCGAATCACCCAATTAACTGTGACAATAACCGTTGCAACGATGGCGACATTGTACAACAAGACACGCAACTACAAACCCCCACATGGTTGACAATGCGCCGCGGAATCAACTCGGGCAGTCTTCGGATGAGTGGGTAAATCCAACTCCACCATCCCACCTAGCGCCATCCCACAAGCTACCTCGGCACACATCCCCGCCTGGCCCGACACGCACACACAAATCAGCATCTGACAAGCAAGTCAGTTGGCATTCAACCCCACTGGAGCCGAGCATCCGATTTATTCTCTAGGGAGCAGGTGTCGCAAATGATATTCCCCGACCTATTCTTGCCACACCCAATCGCAGTGCATCAAGCACCGTAAGCTTATGCCCAAGTCTAGAATTTCGGGTTTTACAAAGCAAATATTAGCAGTAGCGCTGCCATGTGCAAATAACACAGGGAAATAACAATATCGGTGGGGCGGAAAGGGCATGCAGGATGACAGGCCTAGTCCTTTGTCTTCTCCAATTCCCCTAATTCCCCAATTTAAACCAAGCTTACATGCGCGCCCATGGCATGTTGGAGCGAGCAACCAGATGGCAGCATTGTGGCAAACGAAAAAAAAAGTAGTGGCCCATCTCTGCTGTTACTTTCCTTATCTAGAAATTCCCGACATAATGAGGCGTGTGTGTGGAAGATAGGTAGGTATACCGTCGGATAACCGAAAACAGCACAAGAAAGTATCCGGAGTTTCCATTTCTCCAAGGTTTAGGTTTTAGGGTCAGACGAATGGGGGATGAACGGGTAGTGTATAGTGTACAACTAGCCACTACTGCCTCCCACCACATCCGGAGGAACAGACAGGGGTTCCCGTCTAAGTAGCAAATGTTGGACGGATTACGTGGTCGGTTTTCTATGCATACTTGTCAAAAATGTCTGTGCACCATTGTACTACTTACCCCTCAGTGGCTCTTCTGGAGCTCCACTACTACGACTCTACTATGCGCTTGTTTAACATTATCAAACTCACCTAGTAAGCAATGAGACAGACAAGAGATGCCAAAATAAGCTAGCAAAATAGTGTCTTCGGTCAATATCGCAACTATGGACTCGTACTAGGACTCTACTTACAGCTCCCAGCTCCATCTACGGTCCACCACGGCGTTAGCCATGAATGTAGTAGGGCTCCCGCCAAGCACGCAACATTGTAATGAACCTTGACCTGGTGGAGCGTCTGTTACAGGAAACACAGTATTCCAGAAGACACTCCCCACGAATAGACGAAATCGGGCGGTGCTGCGATACTGGCCCCAAGGCTTCGCCCTTCCGCATGCCCTACAGAAGATATTTAGATAGGACGTAAAGCTTGAAAAAAAAAACAAAAAAAACACCCTACTGTCCGCAATTCGCAAGATGCGGTAGTCTTTATCGACGACGACGTTAACGCCGAGGGGGGATACCAAGGAGGTTGTTCCCCTATAGACTCTCTGGCGTCGGCGGACAAAGTCACCGTCTTTCGACAAAGTACGTCACGCGCGAATCTTGCCTACGGGGTTCATAGGGTGACGAACAGCACGGAGACCGACGGTGAGGCCATGGTCAAGTATCTGTCCCAAAAAACTGAGCTGGTAAAGAAGCTGCTCGTCTATCTTCCCTTCCGGAGCATGGTGCAGTCGCTCACCCGCGAGCTCAAGTGCTTCCAGTACGACGGGCAGATGCGGGAAGAGGAACGACACAAGAACCACCGTGGCTTTACCACCTGCAAGTCGGGCATCATGGTCGCGACGACGGCCTTCAATACCGGAGTGCATGTGCCCGACATCTGACGCGTCATTCGGTTAGAAGAGCCTGATCATCCCATCACATGGTCCTTATTTCATGGACTCGGCCGTCCTGAGCAAGACGCTTAAAACCTCCCACCTTTTCCACCAACAATAATGATAAAAAGTTCAACACCAGCTACACCATTAGGATACCGGTAGAGACCGCTGGATTCCGAGTCCGTTGAGGACAGTTACCCAGTATCTACGGTTTGTCATCTGCCAGTACAATCAATCGCGCTAGGTCATTCCTACGACCAGGCTACGTCTATTAGGATATACTCCAGCATACGGAAAGAATACGCTGTCTTTACGGATTCACTTCCATGTTTGTGGGATAGGGAGTATATTTATTAGTATAGCGAGTTCGTTCCACCTAGATATACTCCAACACAATGGGAGAACTGGCGGTCTTTACGGACTCTCTTCCAGTCCACGACTATTGCTGTATTCGCTCAGCTTTGTCTGATAGGACGTTAAACTTATACACAGATAGATAATAAATACACACAAACAAACATGCATGCAAAGATACATACGAGACGAGTGAGATAAGATCACAGCAGATGACTATACCTTGGCCAATCCACGACGTAATCAATGCAAATAGAGGGCTTACAACGTAGGAAAATACCCGTGTTCACATACTCCCAATCCATATCAAGATATCAGCAGGAGATATCTTTTGTGGTGGATTTGAGTAAAGAGCAGGTTCTGCCTTACCACCAGCTTTTTCACACATTAGTATATTTTAGCCTAGTTTTCCAGTTTAAACAGTTGCTACTACAACCGTAATACCATATTTTTCAATATAGCTATATGGCTTCACACCCCTCAGGATAACAGCAATCAATCCAATACCACTAGTACAAAGAAAGACGCTAGCAAATTAATCGGGTCTTAGCAAGTAAGACACTGACGAATACAGACTACGTATGTGGTCCCGATACGATTGCAAACCCTATTGTTACACCTGGTCGGGGTTCCCTACACTACTTACCAAGGGCCCTGTCCTATTTCATTCGAATATGGTAGGAGTATGCGTACGCGCAAATGTCCGTGCTCGTAAGCAGCCAGCGATTGGGCGGCATGGCGCGATATACTTACATAGTAGCGCCAAAGTTAAGAATGGCGCGGCAACGGGGAACCAGGGGGGGGGGGGGAAGGAAGCCAGAAGATGAGGTGAGATTTCAATCTCAAGAGAAAAAAACATATCAGGGGATAAACATCTGTGTGTGTGCACGCGTGTGCGCTGAGAGAAAGTTTAAACACCCCGGAATACAAAATCGTCACGGGTTTGCCCTTGAACTCAAATTTTTGGGTTGCCTTTCACGGTGTAAGGTGGTGCATGCGTCGCGGTATTACCATAGCTTTTCCCCTTCCATCCCTCGTCCTTGCAAAACGGCGTAATGTGTGTATATACTTACCAGTAGTACTAGTTTGTCGCCAACGACAAACATGCGCATCATGCATGACTTTTTCTCATCCCCAGTCGTTCGCATAACCCCCCCCCCAAGTCTGCATAATCCCCAGAGACTAGAAATAGCAATCTCCTCCCTTCGTGGGGGCCGAATTAGTTTGATTCGCCCCCCCCCCCCCCAAAATACACACCTGTTGTTATTTTACTTAATCACATCACATCACAACACACCACCAGCCCCTTGCCTTACATACTTACTACCCTACTAGTGCCAAACCATGGCGCCAAACAAGTCCGTCTTTCCCTCAGCGCCTCCTCAGGCAACCCAGGCCAAAACCCATGAAACACTAGAGTAACCCGGAGTCGCGCGGGTTCTTTTTTCGCAAACAAAAGATTGAACGATTCAGAAAAAAAAGGGGGGTGGAGCGCTCTGGACGAGCGGCGGGGGGAAGAAACGGAAGAGTGAAGTGAGGGAAACCATTGTTTCAAACCCGTCACACAAGTAATATTCTGTTAATCAAGCCAACCAACCAACCAACCACTCATTTGTTTACATTCATCTTTACTTGAGACAAGACGACATTCTGTTTCCCCGGCAATATATATAACTATATATTTTTCTCTTTTCTATTTTTGACACCGTGCCTGAGGCAAAACACATTGTTTTGTCGTACGAAAATCGTGTTCGAGTCGTGATAGCAAAAGGCGATTTGACTTTTGTTTTCTTTTTTCCTTCTTTTTTTAAAAAAACTTGTCGAGACAATTTATCCCATGCCTGTCCCGTGTACGCAGGGCCCCGGGGTAAAAGTGGAAAAAAAAAGAGGAAAGAGCTGAGCCGGGTCATTGTGGCTGGAGACAAAGAGGGTCTGTGTGTGTGTGTGTGTGCATTGACGGATTCGGGGGGCCAGGGAATGCAACGTCCGTCCGTTGTAGTAAGTGGCTGTGTAGTAAGGTAGCCAGTGGCTGTGCAGTGCAGTTGCAACGTAAAGTACGGACCAACAAGAAGAGAAAAAAAAGGACGTGCGTTGTCGTCGTCGCCGGGCTTGTTCGTGTCTGTTTGCATTTCGGCAGTTTTTTTTTGGTCTAGTTTCTTAGTCCTCTCGAGCAGGAAACCAAGGAAAGAGCGTGAATTTACGAGTCAAGGATGCTTGCGCGTTAATACGATAGCTCAAGTTCCTATTGTTAGGGGTGAGGCACACGTATTCACTCTTAGCTGGATTACGATGTTCGCTCGCGGAGACGCGGAGACATGTCATTGGCCATGTGCGTGACATTAGAGAACCCAGATTGGGGGCAGTGCGCCGGAGCTTGGAAGCCACGGCAGAAACAGGGAAATCACGATGTGCAAGTGTGGGAAATTTGTTTGTGTTTTTGAGACAATGCATGCTTGCACACGATCGTCATGTTGATTCATTGTTTTGTGGTATCTGAATTGTGCCTGAAGATGACGAGCATATGGGTATCTAAAGAAGGAGGTTTGAGCCCATACACCGGATCCCTAAAGCTGTGTACATGAAAGTGAATGGATAATACATGGTCCCAGCATGCTTGGGGTTAAAGCCAAGGCATTGATTGGTAAACGAGTGACGAAGAAAAGAAGGTGAGTCGTAACAAGGTCGTGCAAAGCGCTGACCCGGCCTGCGCTAGCTAGATTGCAAGAATCTTGGGTATATTGATCATGGCGAGAAGCGCCTCTAGGACAAGCTTAGGCCAGGCTCCAGTTGGCCTTGAGACGGGTGGTCTCGGTGATACCAAGAGCCTTCCAGGCAGCGCGGGACAGGTCAATGTCGTAAAGACCTTCGCAGCCAGGGCACAGGTCCATGATGGTGGCCTCGCACTTCTTGCCCTCATACTCAATGTTGATCTTAGCACCGCACCATGGGTTGCTGGAGGCACCAGTCATGACATCGTAGGTGGAACCACCCTTGGCGTTCCATGCACCCTTGGCAATGGCGACGACCATCATGTCGTCGGTGAGGGGCTCACCACAGGCACCTGCAGCACCGGTGTTGTCGTAGACAGTGATGTCGACATTCTGGTGAACCTCACCGCCAGAGGATGATGACTCAGTGGTAGGGTACTTGGCAGGAGCTGGGGCGGGAGCTGGAGCAGGTGATGGGCTGGGTGTTGGGGTAGGAGTTGGGGTAGGAGCTGGAGCAGGAGTGTAGACCTCCTCAGGTTGAGGAGCTGGGGCAGGAGCTTGGGAAGGCTCTGGCTGAGGCTCGGATTGAGGCTCTGGCTGAGGCTCAGGCTTGGGAGAAGGGCTTGGGCTTGGCTTGGGCTGCTCCTGAACCGGAGGAGTGTAGACTGGAGGAGCAGGAGCACTAGAAGCAGGAGCACTAGGAGCAGGAGTGTAGGCCGGGAGAGCAGCTGGGGTGCTGGTAGGAACGGGCTTCTTCTGCTCGTAGAAAGCAGCAGCAGAAGTAGAAGAGACGGCACTGGGAGTAGGCGTGGGCTCGTCACCGTAGACGGTGGTGTAGATGACGACGACCTCAGTGACGACCTCGGTCTTGTAGACAAGGGCGCGCTTGTCGACGGGGGCGGCAGCGGCAATGGAGCCGAAAAGGAGAGAAGCGAGGACAGTGGAAGCCTTCATTTTGACGGTGGATATGAGAGTTGGTTGGTTGTTGTTGGTGTTGTTGTTGTTTTTGGTAGTCCAAGGAGTTGGCGAGTAGTGTTTTGCAGAGAGAGGTTTCTCAGGGAATGGCTGAACTGGCTAGCAGTTTCAAGAGTGAGGTTGTCGCGTTGACAAGTCGAAGACAAAGTGTCTTGGAGAGAGAGTGGAATGAATGAAGGTAGAACAAAGCCTCAAGCCTGTAGAAAGAATGATACAGGAGGAGGGCGGGCGACTGAAATATAGAGAGAGTGGTGTGGGTTAGCGGAGGAGAGAGAGAGGTGAGGGAATGCAAGAGGGTGGGTGCGTGGGTTCGGTTGGGCCTTGACGCTAGCGCCGAGGCACGGCCCCTTTTGCAACGTGCCTGGCCCGCCTGCATCGCATCGCATCCTCCGCGCACGACGAGGCCGAGTGAATGTGGCGCTGCCATGCCGGCCCGGTCACTGGTCGAACGGCGTGTCCCTGGCGCGTTCAACAGTGCGCAGAGTCTGCAGCCGTCCACTTTTTTTTGCTTATATGCGCGTTCGAGTACAGGTGCATGCTCCGTGTCAGGCCCGCCGGCGTGTCCGCCCCCCCGCTGCGCAGATGCGACGACTTTGTTTTCGGCCTTGTGTGTTTGCTGTGCTGACAGTGCGTTCGTGTGTGCGTAATTGAGGCTGCACTGCAAATAGGGCACACAAGGCGCACGCTGGTTTCATGCGTCCGCAAACGGCAAGGGCGGGGGTCAGCGCGGCGGCCAATCAGAGCGCTGTTCCTGACGATCACTAGCGCCCGGGCCGTCGGCGGCCAGGGGCAGAGCTGCCAGCTGAACCCGCTAAACGAAACACTCTCACCCAGCTGTACTCTCCTTCACCGGCTCCGTATACCGGCACACACGTGTATCCTCTCCAGTCGCCCCCGCCGCCTGCGCTGGCGCACCACAGCAGCAACACCAACGACAGCTGCCACCATCCCGTGTGCACATCTCCCGCCTCCATTGGCCGCCTCTTGTCCACCCCGAATCCGCTGTGCCCCCATTTGCGCGCCGTGGCCCCCCGACTGTCCAAGAATGCATCACGCCGCCAAGGTGACATCGACTGCTGCATGCCTTTTTTGCCGGACTTGTCATCGTCGCTCGTCGTTCGCTCTTTGTCCTGCGAGCCCTGCCACTCCGCAGCGTGTGGCCTTCCCCGTCCCACTGCCATGCACTTGAAATGAATTGTGGGCCGCCTGTTCCCTGCTCCCCGTCCTGACTGGGTAGCTCTCGTCCCGCGCGCCAGCTATGCGCGAGAATTTTGACTTTTGCCTTATCCACTTATCGATTACGATAGGATAGCTATCCATCTGCATCTGTCATACCACTGCATTGCCCATCTTACCCGACCGCGCGTCCTTACAGCTTCTCCGACTGCTACCTCTAGACAACCAACAATGTCGTCATTAACCCGACCAACTTTCCCTCTACATCATCCGGTCCACGTAAAAGGCAAAAAACTACTCTAGTCCTACCCTCTAATCCGCTTGCCGAACAAAAGCCGTGCAATGGTACAGTATGAGTGCTCGGCACACGTCGTCCCAAGATGTCATCTTCAAAGGGTTTCTTTTGTTCCATGGTTCACTGCCCGGATTCCCAAACGCCTTACTCCGTCAGAATTTTCTCGCTTGCTCATCTCCACCTCGCCCTTACTACCCTTAGCGTATCTCCCGTCATAGCTGCGTACATACAAGCCTCTTACGTTGAGAAACCCCCATGTCCAACAAAAACCCGCCACGGTCTAGAATCGTCCGGTTCCCCTCACCATTTCTAGCCTGAACCTCATCTTTTCGTCATGTTGCATCTTGGTACCCTAGACGCCATCCAAGGCTTCTGCCGAACAATGCACTCGTAATTTTTTCCCTTCCCAAGATCCCGCAAACGGCTCAACTCTGGGTCAGGGTGTCATGCACACCATGTCTCCTTTCTCCGGCATTTTTTCTTTGGCTCTTCCCTAGTGCAAACTCAACTTTTATGGTACGTAACAAAACTTAGTCTGTGTAGTTTTCCATACGTGCTTCTAGACGCTCCTACTACAAATCAATACATCAGAAAAGGCGTGTCGCACTCTTCAGCACGCTTAACATCATCATCTCCACACACACGCCACGCCCTACCACAACCATCATCTCCACCCACCCAGAAAAAAATGAAAAAAATGAAAACTCGGCACACCGGGGAAGACGGCGGGTATGCGAACATTTACCCCGCGACCTAAACTCGTCCTTTTCTTTTTTTCTCATCTGGCTGTTTTGCGGAGATTGCAAAACACAAAGAAGAAGAAAACAAAGAAAAGTTCGTTTCCTGCACACGCGCCACCGACGGGATCATGATTTTTGGAAACTCTGTCCGTGTCGGAAACAATGCCTCAGGCACCGACGTTGTAGCATGTGCATGCACTAGATGATCTCTTTGCCTCACCCCAAGAAAACATTACCCAATCCGACCTGTTGAGAGGTCTTGTTGTGCTTTAGTCCATTTTCCTATGTTATCCACCCGGTTAATCATGCTCGTCGCATCGGTCTCCGTCATATGCGACTTCTTGCTACTTCTTCTTTTTTTTCGACGGGTTTCTTTGTTTTGTTTTTTTCGGCTTCACATGCAGGGCCCGATCGTTATGCTTTGTTGTTGCCTCGTGGCATGTTCCGTTGTTTGGGCTCGACTCTTTGGGGCACTTGGGTTCCCGTGACTGTGCTTGCTTTTCTTATTCTCGGAGTGCAAATGGCTGTGCTGAGGCGTGGTTATTTGCACCACGTGCTTAGCATATGACATGATGATTTTCCATGACTTTTCTTCTTCTCCCTTCTCTCTTTCTTGGTTGATGCGGCAAGTAAGTGATGATTGGATACTTGGTTGATTGTGGAATGATATGGATATGTTATTGTTCTCCATAAAGATGAAGATATATAACGTATGTTTTGGCATTCCAATCCTAATGTTGCTGAAACAGGTCTTCCCTATCTACTTTCCCGGATTTAACTTGTTTATCCAATGCTTTGACATCGAGCATGGCCAACGGATACATGATCTGAAGTACTTTGCTAATTTAACAATGGTCATTCTTTGCCATCTTCTTGATTGAAATGTATCACGCAAGTGCAACGAGGTTTAGACTAGAAAGTAGAAGAAGCGAAAAAAGACCCAAGGCTACCTGCTGTCGTAACCAGCATCTATGGAATTTGGCATTGCTACGGACACTTTTACTGAACACTACTGTGCCATTCTCGTAACTTTTGGTGGATAGATGCAATGTTCGTCCATCTCAGTGCTGAAACGAAGGCTCTGAGCAAGCATGGTTTGATTGAAATGCTTTGTTAGACGTAGACTTTCCACAGATTGTAAGTTCCTTCCTTCACTGCTGCTGCGATTCTGTGTGCTTTCGCCACCTCTTCCTCCAACCCAGCCTTAATATAAAGGTCTGTTAACAGATCCACTGTTTTCTGACGTTCCCCGATCACCGCATAGTCGAGTGCGGTTCTCTTGGAAAAATCTCTAGCCTCCATATAGGATTTGCCTCCATGTTCTATCAACAATTTGCATATTTGAGCAGATCCGTTCGCAGCAGCGTGATGCAACGGAATAGTCCCATAAGCCGTTGAGATTCCTGAGCTCGCGCCTGCTTTCAACACCTTTTGAATTAATTCGATCAACAAACTAAACTCACTGAACTGGCACAATATGTGCAGTGGTGTTCTCCCAAGTATGTCTCGACTATTACATAGGGCGATATCGTTCCAAAAGCGTTCATCCTGTTCCACAACAAATAAAAGTTCTTGATTGTCTTCAAAAGCGCCATCAAGTGTACGATGCAAGACTGTCCTTCCCAAGCAGTCAAAATATCCTATATACGATTTCGGTGTCGTCCAATTCTCCCAACTCAATGAGTCATCATGGAAAAGTCCGAAAAATCTACTCTGCTCGGCAAGTTTGGAAAGGCCCAAAGATTCAAGCGCCACTCCGATTTTCTGTGGTACTTCAGTTGACAAAGTGGTATAGATTTGTATTTCTTCTTCCAGTTTGTCCTCACCGAGCTGATCGCCATGGTACTTGAGCAGGTGTTCCTTGAACAGAAAATTTCTGCATGAGTCCATAGAATCTCTAAGCCCATCAATCGGTATCTCGTCATTGCTTTCCCCGCAAAGAGGGCAAGTATCAGTCAGAGAGTTGGGAAATACAGCGATGATTAGACTGATAAGCGAAGAACGTGTCGGAAGGGTTTCCGGGGACTGTTTCTCAGTCAAGAGTTTTGCCAAGCATGGGAGAATTGCTTGATAGTAGATGGCATTGACAAAAATTCTAAATTCTGAAGCCGGATTTTCGTTACCGCGAAAATGAAAGCCTGCAAAGAACGAGCCCATGTTTTTGAAAAGGTCGTTAAGCCTTGTTCTAGCCATGACCATCATTTGGTAGTAGCTTACGAGAATTACACTGTGAACGTCTCAACCTTGCTGGTCTTGTTTCGCAGAACTTGGGGGGCATCAACATACATTTGGTCAAAGCTGATTTTCAAGGCATCTGAATCGATTGGCGGGGGAATTTCGTCGTGAGTTGGTAGTAAAGACTTCGATGGAAGCTTCCTAGGGCGTATCACACGGGTTCCTTCTGAGCAAAGAAGCCCCTTTTCAGTACAGCGGTTGCATTTTTCCGAATCTTGCCGAATACACTGATTTTTGATTGTTAGTACGAGTTGTGGAAACCTGCATCGAATTGTTTTTACGTGGCCATTGGACTGAGACTTGCACCCCGATAATCCAATTATGCATGCGCGCAATCACTTACAGCCTTTTTGTCATCCCGGCACCTTTGGCACTTGGTCATATTCAGCTTGCGTTTTTTTCTCCCTGAAATTGATGGCAAATGCTGCTCTTTAGGATGTTCTTGATGTGGCTCCACTTGGTTTCCCTGTTCATGATCCCGTTCATGTTGCATCTGTTCTCGCAATTCTTGCCAATTATGTCCATTCACGTCCCGAGCCTGATTCGGCTCCAAGTGAGCAGACTGGACTTTTCCGAGTAGGTTACTAGGCGCTTCATTTGTGTTTTGATGAGAAATCAAGTTGTGACCACGGGACACAAATTCAATCTCCAGACACGCTTCGCATGTTGTATGACCGCAGTTCGAGCACAGGTCAGGAATGGAAACTGAGGCAAATAACCTGTGACATCCACAGCATATCCTGCCAGGGACGCGGGGGGTACGTTCTGTTTGATACAGGTGATTTATTGGGTGGTCATTCAACTCGTTGGTGTTCCTGAACATGATTGAGGTCGGGATGTTCTTCGAGGTGGAAACGGCGGGTAATTCAAGAAATGGAGTACAGATGGGAGAAGGTCGTGAATGAAGAAAATTGACTGTGATGGGCTGATCAGCCTGGTGGAAGAGAGAGGGAACTTGGGATATGCGTCGCGCCCTTTGTATATATGTGAAAACCGCCCTGTTTGGTGGTCACTATCCAGGTGCGACAAAGCGCGAAAAGAGCATGTAATAACCCTTGCGACAAAGTGCGATGGGGAGAACGCTGTGGGTTCGCATTGCGTTGGCAATACCAGCTCATGCAAGCCACAACATGGCTGTGAGCCTAGCCTGTCTGCACCCATTCCCTATGTACTCACCATTGGCTATCGCACTTTGTCGCAGTTTCAAATGCCCGGGGCTGTGTATCATCCTGCACGGTATGATTTCAGAAGGATTAGTTAGGCTCCCTTTATTGGTAGTCGCATATTGTCGCAGTTGGGGGTCGAAGGTACATCTAAGCATGACTTTGGGCTCCTACTAGTTTTATCGTTAGCATCGCACATTGTCGCGCTTTTCCCATACCAACTGTGGGTGTCATGTAGGGAAGCCTGAACTCAGCTCTACGCGCTTATTTGACGTCGCATCTCATCGCACTTCAATTCACACCAAGTACGGTTAATGCCATACCGATAGACGGGTAATGCGCCTTGTGGATCCATTCTTTGCCTACGGGGGCACTGCACTGTCCAACTCTCCTCTGGTCGCATCGCACCTCATCGCATTTTCGAGGATGCGATACTACTAACGGGGGCGCCACCTCAGGAACATAGGCCGGTACAGTTTGTCGCGTCGCACCTCATCGCATTTCGAAGATGCGATACTGACGGGGACACTTGCCTCTGCAATGTACATAAAGATAGCCCTGAGCCTCTGGCCCTAAACTCCTTCCCTTCAACCAAGTTCCGAGTGATCTCTCGTCAACATTCATTCCATTCAGTTTTTGAATTTCTTCTCGCAAGCGTACTCTACCACAAAAGTCAAATCCCACCCTGCTTGATTTGCCAAAACCATCATCCGCCACGCCCGCCATAAATACAAAGACATCAACGATGACCCCCACATCGTACATGAACGTCTCAAACACAGCCATGGCCTCTTCAGCAAACGAGGCAATTGTCAACAATGAGAATTCCGAGTCGCTTAGCGTGACAATAAGCTTTGGTGTACTGGGCTTGGTCGTAGCGATGGCAGGTATATTGATAGCTGTCCTACAGCTTCGACGCACGTCACGCTCAAAAAGAACGGTTGAAGTGTACGAGCTTCCGTGTAAGACTGGACATACCGAGTCACAATGCGCAAAGCTGACCGATTTTTAGAAGAACGCTTGAAGAACACGAAATGTAGACAAGGTATTCGGACTGGCATGCATGGATGAGTGAGCGTTTGGCTGCCTAGTCAGACAGAATACGATGTAGTATAGAGTACACTGGGATATGTGACAGGGCTCAGCCAAGGCCTCAGGGCCTATAACCGTCGAAGAAGAGATGGGTATAAATATACAGCACCTGCGATGGGTGCGCAAATATATTGCGTAACTAATATTGTTAGTAGTCTAGTCATCTGATGCTTTTTTGATAGAATAGAATTTGGTTATTATAAAGCACAAGACTATCCTTCTATGTCAGCGCCTTCCTCCTTAGTGCGTTTCTTAGCGAAGGATACGAGAATGAAGGCCATGCATCGTATAGCCAACAGGTCTGGACCTTCAGACGTTAACAATCTGAAACCGGGCAGAGATGAGGATCTCCGATGTACATGACAAAAGGCAGTCGAGAGTGGTTGACGTTGGTACGTATGGGGAATAGTGCATCGTCGAGCAATCGTATTACACAGCCGTTGAAACGTCGAACATGATGCAGCGTGGATGGGAGGGTTGGAAACTCTGGCGGCGAGTAAGGAGTCAGATGGGTAGGGCTGAGAGTGGAGGTTTCTTGGGCGTGGGCATGTGTCGATCATCTTCTATGAACTTCCTAGCTGCCGTAATAAAAGCCTTGGCACCGGGCAGCACGCGGCTTTACTGTGCATCCAGGTTTCGTCATCTTCTGTCAGGCAAGCACAATCCCATGGACCCCTCCCCAGCCACCGCGTCTGCCTTCTTTTCTCTGCGACGAGTGCTGTCGCGCCCATCTTCTCTACTACCTTGAAGGCTGTGTATATACGCGGCACGCCCGTGGCCACGTCCCGTAGCCGTTTTGTAGGCACCCTGAGCACATACTTACATTCGCCCGCCGCAGTTGTTCACCTATCCTGCGCGCTGACCACACCTCCTCTACGGATAACGGCCCCCTTCATTCTCGCCCTCATATCCAGGTCTCGCGCCAAGGGACTTGTTGTTACTTGCATTGCCTACTACTTGTGGCTTGCTGCACTGAGCACCACCACTAAGCCCGTGCTTCGTTTCACCTCTTTGTAAACACCACGACTGGTGGCTCCCACTCCCGACTCGATACACTCGCGCGACTCCCGGTGCCAGACAGCACCCTCATCGCCATCATACATAATGTCTCTCACCGACTCCGAGTTGGAGCTGGTCAGCTCTGAGCTGCGGGGTAACAGCGACGACATTCCAGAAGAGCCCGACATGATACTTTCATCCGACGCCGACAACGCCGAGTCGTTCGCTCCCCCACCGCGCATTGCGGCGCGCTTCTATCGACATTCAGCGAACCGCCGCAAGTCGTCTGCGACGTCATCGCGCCGCAACTCGATATCCTCGACACATTCACACACATCGAATCGATCGTTCCGCAACAGCTGTCAAAGCCACCAGGTAGCCCAGCACCTTCGCCGCGCTTCCATACTCGAGGACCGCAAGGCAAGATTGGCAGATCGAGCAGCACATGCCGAGCAGGTCAGGCTGCGTGCTGCCCTGGCCAAGGCCGCCCCGCGTGGCTCAAACAGCGAAGAGCGAGCCCTCGCAGCAAAACAGGCCCGCGAGAAGCATCTCGCCCAAGTTGCTGCGTCCTGTGCCGAAGAAGTTAGAAGAGCCAAGAAGATTGCTGAAGACATGAAAGAGCGCAAGGCCGCTGAGGAGCGTAGATATCGTATGGAAATGGAGGAGAAGTTGGCAGAGGCAGAAAAGAGAAGATTGGAATACAAACGCAACCCTCGACGACCGAGAACTGCCAGTTCACCTCCGGCCAGCCTCAAGCCACGCACCCAGCGTCCCGTCTTGTCAACTGAAGATGCAGCCAAAAGAATCCAGGCGGCCTGGAGAAGCAAGGTCAGGCGTGACATTGTCAGAGAATGGCTGAAACTTGGTCTATCCATTGAGATGGTCCAGGAGACTAGTTTCGACGTCATCACAGGCATGCTTGCAGATGAGAAGCTGTTGAAGACGACTGATAGGATCATGACCTTGTTTGTGCTACTCCCCGATGCAGATCCAGTCCCCCGTAGCGCCGCTGTCAGGACCTTTCTCTCCTCGTATCTTATTCTGGGACACCCTACCCATGTTTTCAGCCGCGACGGTGACCAGGAGCAGGATCTGATTACCAAAGCCAAGGACCTTGTCATCAGCTTTGAGTCTGCTTTGGCCAAACTGACAAAGCTCAATGCCTACACTCCATCGCCCACACGCACAGAAACTGTTTTGCTAGCCCATAGTGCATTCGTTGCTGCCTTCAATGACTGGAAATCTCGTGATTCGTCGGCGCTTGTTGAGACCATGGTTGCCTCGTTTGTCAGCCTGGACGAGATATGGCAAAGCGTCAAGGATGCGACAGTCGATGAAGTCGCCAATGAGTACAGAAACGGCATTCGGGACAACCAAGCTATACTGCTTAGCAGGATCAAGAAGCTGGCCGGCCCTGACAAAGCCCTTATGCTAATCAGGAAGGCTATACGCGAAAGCCGAAGGTCGAAGCCAAAGAAGAGGCCCGCAGGCGATACGGTTCGACCTCGTGTGGCCGGCGAGTCCACACCAGACTCTCCACTATCAGCCGAAAGCGCTGCCAAACAGGCAGAGGCTGCTTCTGAATTGGCGGCTTCTGGGCAGGCGAAGCCTGAAGACCCCACCACGCAGGGTCACCAAGCCCAGTCGCTATCCAAGGTCTTTACAGTGGTACCCGACAACCGCATACTCGTCCACGAGTTGTCAATTGACAAGGAGTACCGCATTGACCCTTCACCCGCTGCCGACCTGCGCGATGCTCTCAATCGTGAACTATGTGACGCAATGCGACGGGGATTTGAGGACGGCGATAGTGCAAACTGGACCACTGCAATGGCGGAGAACATACGTGGCAAGTTGTTACGGCTGCTGAAGCCTGGCAACTCCATGCACACTCTCATTTCTGAGACCCTTGATCCAGAGCATGTCAGCCGGCAATGCAGCCAAGGTGTCTTCTCATATGGCAAATTCTTCAACTTTATTGCCAGCATCCTACCCAAGCTTTGTGCACCGTTCCGAGACACGGAGGTTCAGGCGCTTGCTGAAGAACTAAAGGAGGAGGGAGATCTGTCGAGTATGATTGAGAAGTTGTTCAAGATCCTCCACATCATCGACCTGCTCTCACTAGATTACTCAAACTTCTTGTTGATGAATGCCGCTCCTACACTGATCAAGGAGGCTGTTGGCTACGAACAACGCATGTTCACGCAGGATCTGGAAGAAAACAAGATCACTCTTGACCGCACACGCCGCTGGTGGCGTAGTGCAGCAGTCAACATGCACACTGAGGCTGATCGCCGTGACCCGTGGAGCCAGGCCAATCCCCTCAATCGACCCACTGCGCACAAAATATATGCCCGTGGTTTAGTCGATCTGGCAATCGCAACTCCACCTCTTCGGGAGTCGGAGCTACCAGAGACACTCGAATTGGACCGAGCCCGGATTGCCCGAATCCGGGAGGACGCGCTTCGCATTACGACTATCGGAGGAATTCTCCTTACAGCTAAGAATCTACTCAAGCGGGATGTACGGTCACAGTGGAAGTCCGAAGCCAACAAGATGTGGCTGGTGC